TCCATCCCTGTGCAACATCCATCCCTGTGCACATGCACAGACCCTGCTGGAGGTGCAGTGGGGTGAGCAGAGCTGCTGGGTTATCCCTGCCTGCTCCTGCGTGTGATAATCCTAAAGGCTGTGGTGCACGTTGGTGGATGTGTGTGTACATCTTTTTGCCTTTGTTTTGTTTATTCCTTTTAATCCCCTGGGGCATATCTGTGAGCTGAAGGACTTTAGAGCTGATATAGCTTTTTAAAGTGGGGATTATGCAAATGCATATTATGGGGCTTTCCTAAATAGGGATTATTCGTCGACTACATTTGAGTGCTTCCTTTGGAGCCATTAAGGCCTGTTGTGTAAATAGGAATTTAGTGACTGCCGAATCTAAATTTCATTGATTCAATAAAAGATCACAACAGCATTTTTTGCATTCGTTTTGGTATCATGAGAATATATTCCTGGACAATTTTCAACTAATTACAGGACTGTATATGACTACAGCTAATCATAGTGAGCATACCTCGAATGTTTGTATTAACTGTTCTCTGTCATTCATTGTGTAGTTCTCTTCCTCTCTAATTCTACGGCTAAATTCACTATTGTCCTAGCCAGTAACTTGTTAACTGTCACTCACCAAATTAAGAATTCTGGAAAAAAGGTATAGCCACTCAAAAAGTTGTAGGAATTTCTTATCTGTGCTCCTAGATGTCCTAGATGAAAGACATTTAAGGCAACATGCTAAAAATTCTGGGAAATGCTGCCTCTTCTCCGGGCAGTTTCACACTTACAGGCAGATTCTACTTGGAGAATTGACTCTTGGCCTCCTCTCAGCTGGCAGGTAATGCTGGTGCCTCTCCTTGATGCAGAAACGGTGCAGAGCCCCTGCTCCAGTGTTTCCATCCAGTTGTTCCACTGGTGTCTGAGATGGGCCCAGACAGGAGCAGCAGCTGTTCCCTCGGTGCAGGAGGCCCAGATGTGAGGCAGTTTCCCCGTGGCCACATGTCCTGACACAGCTCAGCTCCTCATCACAGACCCTTCCCAGGCACTGCAGAGCCTCCCGTGCCCGGGGGCTGCTCGGGGCAGGGCAGCACTGCTGCAGGTCCCTGGCTGTGCACAGCAGCCCCAGCTCTGCTCCCTCCCTGCTGAACCTCCTCGTTATTTCAGTCCTCCCACCAGCCTCAGAGCCAGCTGCATTAGGCAGGTTCTGATGCTGTCACAGTCACACAGAGAATGAATCATATCGAACATTGCCCATGGGGTTGTTTATTCCTTGAAGAGGGAATGGACTGCATGCCAATATCCCTGGCAAGGCTTAATGAAGGAACTAGCTTTGCTAGGAAACCTGGATGCCCTCCTACAGAGATTTGCTGGATGGTATGGCTCTGAAAAGCTATGTAAAAATAAGAATAGATATAATAAAAATTACTTTTTAAAAAAATGGGAAGATACTTTCAACGTAATGAAATCTTGGCAGGGTCTTTCAAGCTGCACAACTCCTCAGTCCCAGACCTCAGTGGACACAGGGATACCAGGAACACAAGTATGTGGGGCTGGCTCTTGAAGTTAATGCTTATACAGGCACCTTAATCCTTCCTGTCCTCTTCACTTAGGGTCAGCACCCTCTCCTTTGCTTTTATCTCCTTCATGTCGTTTAATAAAAGAGAATTTTGCCACCTGGCTCTGACTTCTGGAGCTGGGAATCTCTGAGGGAGGAGTTAAATGGGAATTTCACATCTTCCTCTGCTGTTCGCTGTTCTCAGTTTTTAAATTGTACTTCTATTAAGCAGAACAAGCCCAAAGCACAATCAGTGCACAACGCCTTGGTTTACAAAGATCATTTGATCAAACATAAACCAGCACTACTGTGTAAACAGTCTGTGATGGGGACCTCAATTATCACACACGATGTTTTCTCTTCAGGTAATTTCTGAAAACATATAGAACAGATGAAAGTTTGAAATGCAATCCAGTCTTCAGCTTTTGGAAATGATTCATTCTACTAATGATTTACTGATTTATACACAGCTTATTTTGCATAAAGTTAGAGCTGGGCACATTTATTCATTGTGATTCCCTTAAAAATGGATATAAATATCAAAAGCAATTGGCTACCAAAAATTTTAATATTATAGCACTGCATCATGGAGAGTTGACATGAATATGAGTCTAGGTCGGAAAAAATACACAGAAAATGCTTAACCAAGTATGATATTTTACAGCATGTCACTGAATCATTTGAAAGGCTTCTATTCATTACAAATGTATGCAGTGTGTGCAAAGGATTCCTCAGGAAAATAAGAAAGATAAATTATTCTCCTAATGAAATATGTTCCATGATCTACCAGTACCCATCTTTCCTACAAAGTCCAGCCTTTCTCTAGGGCTGTATACCTGAGAAGAGACACGGGGTTCAGTGAAAGGAACTAATTCCAGGTAATTCCACAGCAAAAAATGCACAGTGCAGTCCCAAACTTGTCGCCAAAGACAGTGGATAGCTGAGACTACCAGCAGCAAGGTGTGTCACTCCTGAAGCTGCTCCTTCCATGATTCAGCAGAACAAGGCCCAGCAGCCCCCAGGCCCCTGATGGGATGCTGAGCTCCCACCATGGACCAGCACCAAGCCCGTGGCTGCAGGTTTGGCCCTGGGCTGCTGAAAGGCAGGAGTGGTTCTGTGGCTCTGGGTGTTGCCACCCGCCCACAGCAAGCCTGGAGGAGGGGACGGACTTTTCCAGCCCTGATCCCACCCAGGCAGCTGCTCCAGGAGCTGGGTGAAGCAGGAGGAGGGTCAGTGTGTGCCAAATCAGAGTCATCACAGGGTGGTTGTGGGCAGCACTTTCACCCTGTGGCACCGTCGCAGCCCACAGGGCCACCAGGACCAAGGGCCAGTGAAGGGAGGTGGGCACTGCACTGTTCTGCACGTGTGCCAGTGTGGGGTGTTGCAGCAGCCCTGCTCGGCTCCCCAAACCCAGAAGCCAAAACCGGTTCTTCTGTCTGCTGGCTGCAACAGTCCCAGCACGCAGGGCTGGAGGACCCAAGTCCAAACCAGTGCTTTAGTACACCAAAATGACAAAGTGCCTCCAACGCACAGGGAAGGGATGTGGCACACCTCGCAAAAAGCCTTTCAGGAGGCTGCAGCTAATGTCCTTAAGAGCAGCAAGCCACGCTGCCCAGCCGAGGAGAGTGCAGGGCATCTGTGTGCGGCCATTGACATGTTACCCTCGTACACATATTGATCCAACGGTTCATTGTTCACCCAAGCCCTTGGCAAAGGTCACTGTCTCTGCTCCCATCTTATAGATGGAGCACACGGACAAAGATTAATTTTTAGAAGTGATGAATGCTCCTGGTGCCCACTCTGATTCACTTCGGGCCTCAAGCCCCAGATGAAGTCTGGAGCTGGCTTAATTAAGACATCCCTTGCCCTCTCCCAGCACTGCCAGACATGTCTGCTTCTTGTTGTCATTGTCTTCTCCCACAAATTCCTCCACCCTTTATCCTGTGCCAACCCTCAAACCGGCTCAGAGACTTGCCTCTGAGGCAGCATCCAAGACGCACATTTCCCATGATGCCCAAACAATCTCAGACCCTCATTTCTTGGCTCTTGATCCTCATTTCTTGGCTCTTGCTGCTCTATCCTATGGAGGGTTTAGGAAGGAGCTCCCACCTTTCCAGGGCTCAAGTTTGCCAAAAAAGCTCAATCACGACTTTTAACGTCCCAAGTCGGTCTCGATTACGCCGCAGTCCAGTGGCTAAGCACCAGTGGGCACCCTCACACACGGGCTGCAGGTTCCCCACCTGCTTTGCCGCAGCCAAAATCCGAGGGGCAGCCAGGTCCGCGCCGCCCCCACGCCCGGCCCGGCGCGGCCGGCGGCGGCTCCGCATGAATGAACCGCGCTCCTCCAATCGGCGGCCGCTCCGCCGCGGGTGGCCCCGCCCCTCGCCCGCCGCCGGCCAATCCCGTGGGCAGCGCCCGGCGGCCGCCGGCCAATGGCGAGAGGGGAGAGCGGGGCAGCGCCCCCCCTCCCCCTCCCGCCGGCGGCGCCCTATGGCGGGGCGGCGCGCGCCACCCGCGGCGGCGGGCGGGCCAATGGGGCGCGGGGGCGGGGCGGGCGCGCGGCGGCCCCGCGCCCCGGCGCGCGGCTCTAAAGCGCGGCGCAGCCGGCGCGGCGCACACGCGATGGCCGCCGCCGCGCAGTACCTGCCGCGCTCCGCCGCGCTCATGCACCCCGACGGCGACCGCCTGCACCAGGGCACCACGTACCGCGAGGTGCAGAAGATGATGCACCACGAGTACCTGCAGGGACTGGCCCCCGCCGCCGGGCACGCCGTCGGGCTGGCGCACCACCAGTGGCTGCCCAGCGCCGGCACGGACTGGGGTAGCGGTGGGGGCGGAGGGGGCGCGCACCTTCCGCCCGCCGAGCACGCCAAGGGCGGCCCGCCGGGCGCCCGCGAAGAGCTGTCCGCCGCCGCCTTCCACCACCGGCCGCACCTGGTGCACCAGCCGGCGGCGGGCGGCGCGGCGGGCGGCTGGGCGCAGGGCGGTGCGCACCACCTGCCGCCCATGTCCCCGCCGTCGGGGCAGCCGCTGCTCTACGCGCAGCCCTACGCGGGCCTCAACGGGATGCTGGGCCCGCCGGCGCCAGCGCTGCACCACGGGCTGCGCGACCCACTGGGCGCCGAGGAGGCGGGAGGCCACGAGCTGGCGGCATCGCCGCCGCCGCTGGGGCCGCCCGAGCCGTCGGACGAGGACGCGCCCAGCTCCGACGACCTGGAGCAGTTCGCCAAGCAGTTCAAGCAGCGGCGGATCAAGCTGGGCTTCACGCAGGCCGACGTGGGGCTGGCGCTGGGCACCCTGTACGGGAACGTCTTCTCGCAGACCACCATCTGCCGGTTCGAGGCGCTGCAGCTGAGCTTCAAGAACATGTGCAAGCTGAAGCCGCTGCTCAACAAGTGGCTGGAGGAGACGGACTCCAGCACGGGCAGCCCCACCAACCTGGACAAGATTGCGGCGCAGGGCCGGAAGCGCAAGAAGCGGACGTCCATCGAGGTGGGCGTCAAGGGCGCCCTGGAGAATCACTTCCTCAAGTGCCCCAAGCCCTCGGCGCACGAGATCACCTCCCTGGCGGACTCCCTGCAGCTGGAGAAAGAGGTGGTGCGGGTCTGGTTCTGCAACCGGCGGCAGAAGGAGAAGCGGATGACGCCGGCCGGGGTCCCGCATCCCCCCATGGAGGACGTTTACGCACAGGCGGACACTTCGCCGCTGCACCATGCGCTGCCCGGCGCCGTGCAGTGACTGCCCGGCCCCCCGCGGCCCCGACGGCGGCGCAGCGAGCGCGGGCAGCGGGGGACGCGTTTTAATTTATTCTCAGACTGGCCCGGCCGCCCGCTCCGCGCCCCGCGCTCTATTTATTCGCCCGCCGGAGCCGCAGCGGCCGCCGCAGCAGTAGCCAAAGGTTTGCGATCTCTAATTTATTCCCTTCCTCGCGCGGCCGGGAGGCGGCGGCGCCCCCGGCTCGGCCCCTCCCGCTCTGCCCGGCCCGGTCCGCCCGGGGGGACGCTTCGAAACCATTTCCCGGCCCGTCTCTATTTATTTCTAACCGTGCGCGGAGCTCGCACCCTCCCGTTGGTGGGTTCAGTCCGGTCCATCCCCCTGGGGTTTCGGTTTTTTTTTTGTTTGTATCTCTTATTGCAAAACCAATGTAGACTGCGAGGGTACGTTTCTATTTATGTTATAGTAAATATTTTATTACTTACATAAACCATTTACCCAGGAACCGGTCTCGTGTCGTCTTTGCAGGCTCAGCGCCCGGCCGGGGGAGCGCGGCCGTCGGGGCCGGTGGCGGCGGCGGCTGCGGCGCTGCCTTGGCCGAGGTGTCCCCTGCGGTGGCCACCGAGGGCCCCGAGGAGCCCCCCCCGAGTTCGCGGTGGCCGCGGGGACCCCCCCGGTTCGCCCCGGCGGTGCCCGGCAGGGTTTCCTAACGCGCTCCGGGCCAGCCGCTCCCCGCGGGATGCGCTTGTGCGCTGCCCCGTTCCCCGCACCTTCCGCGGGGTTTTTGCTGATCCGAACGCAACTCTCGGCGGTGTGAACAGAAAACAGCCCGCACCTAACTTTCCTCCCGCATATCGTAGGGGTAATACATGCACGCTGGTGTCGCCGAGTAGATTCCTTCCACTCGAACCACGCTCTCGCTTTTTCTGATGTCACCAGCTTTCCTTTTGCGTGGTTTCGTGCCCGAATATTTTGTGGTTATGCCAAAAAAAGGGTGAAAATACAGTTTGTTTGCATTCTCAGTTCTTGGAAGAATGATCCTGCATCTCTAAACCTTCTCTTGCAGCGCCAAGAAAAGTCGCACGAGGATTGTTTGCCTTTGCAGGTCCTTGGATTCCTGCGGTGTTTTTTGTGTTGGGAGAACTTTTGAAATATGTTCCCATACAGAGCTCTTGCACTGATTAAATACTTGATCGAAATCTGGTAGTAAAGGACCAAATTCTTTCTTTTTAGTTGGCAGAGAATTTACTGATGTTCTGAGACATCTGGCACTGGATGGTTTTCCCCACTTTATTCAGTACAAATTACGTGCTGTGAAAACAGAAGCTTTAAAGAGGATTTCCTAGCGAAAGCGCTGCAATTGCGCATTGCAATTCATGTATAATTCTTTTTAATATATAAAGAAATTTCTAACGTACCAAATGTAACTTACTCTCGAAAATTTATACTTGAAAATTCTTGTCTTCGTTGCAGTTTGATTTTGTTGCATTTTGTGCCTTTGGTGGGGGTGTATATTACTTGTCTAAGCAATGTCTCATTTGCCATTGATATGTTATAATTTATTGCGTTTTCAATGTTTCTTATAATGTAGCTATTCTACGTCAGCTAATACAAAGCTATCAAATTCTCATTCAAAATTCTAGTAAACTGATTTTTGAGATTTTAAAATAAAGTCACTTTGAGCAGTTATTTCAACAAATACTCTGTAAAGAAATGGTTCACTTTGTGATACAAACAAGCTACTGAATGCTGTGGGTTAGGGTATTAATAACTTCCCTTGGCATGCAGAGCATAATAGGAAATCTCACTTAAAGGGTTTAGTGTGCAGTGCATGTCCTGTCAGCTTTTGCTGCAGGCTTTGCTTCCTTTTTTGTAATGAGACTGGTTTTTATAAAAGAACAGAGAATGGGCTGTTGTAGAGATCCTGAATTCAAAAAGTTTTGCCATTTTTACTGAATATTTACTAATTTCCAAACAGTTAAGCAGATGTACTACCTTAGGTGAAATACTCCAGTAAAAAAGTGAAGTAGGAGGATGATTTAAGGGTTTGAGTCAATGTATCATGACAGCATTTAAATTAATTTCCAACTCTGAGAATCTGTCCTCAGCTGTTACCTTGTGTATTCCCCACACATGTACCATTGTTTTTAGTGTTTTGTCATGCTGTAATTGCAGCCTTTGCTTAAGAATTTCTGTGTGACAGCCAGGCTTTAAGGAAAGAAGAAACAAAATCAAAACTGAACAAAAGAGGGTTTTTTTTGTTTGCTTGTTTCTTAAAGAAAAACTCGTTTGCATTTAATGTTTAATTGTGCTGATTTTCTATAGTAGGAGACATTTCACTAACCTCTTCATTCTGAGCTAACCTGGATGGCAAACAAGATTTGTATTGATACTCAGAAGGGAAGGGTCAGTTTTCACATTGCGTTCTGCTAACAGATGAGATGTGCTGTGAGTGCTGGGGAGGATGAGCACCCTTGGGTTGTTCGGTGTGTCAGATTCTATAAGGCACTGGCAGCCCCTCTGCATTAGCTCTTTCGTGCTGTTGAGCAGCAAAAATAAAATACTCTTTGTATATGTCCTTTCTGCAGTGCTGCAGTGCTCAGCTGTTCTAAAAATCAAATGCCCCAAAGCTTTGCCTATCTTAGAATAACTTGTTCGTTTTCCTGGTCAGGGATTAAATAGCAATTACTGGAGGGAGACCTTTTTTTTTTTTTTTTTTTTAGGTCCAAAACAAGCAGGTTTTGTTCATTTTTTTTTTTTTTTTTTGGCGTTGTTTCTCACTAAGGTGAAAGCATGACCTGATACCATACATCAGTAGTAAAGCAAGAAAAGGTTGGACTGTGGTGTTGCTACATTAAAGAAAAGCAAATGTACGAATGCTTATTTAACAATGCTCAAAGTAAACAGTAAACATACAAAGTAGGAAGTGCAGATAAGCAGCAGAAGCGCTGCCAGTGCAGTTCAGAGAGGGGTTTAGGTCTGTGCTGATGGGAAATCTTTGCTCTAACCCAGGAGCACTCAGCAGTGCCTGGCCCCAGCAGATGCTGGTCAGTCCCCCGGGGGCACTGGGCTGTGCTCACTGTGCTCGGGGCAGGTGCCATCCATCACCAGGGACTGGGGTGATCTGCTTGCCTTGCCCACAGTCCAGAGGGGCTGGTGACCCAGGGTTTTCATTTCAGACTGCTGAGGAGAGCTGAGGTGGTGACCAAGGGGTCTTTGGCCAGGTGGGGAAGTTGGTAGCAGGTGAATGCAGCCCTGGTGTGGGCTCAGCCCTTCTCATGCTTGCAGAAGGGTGAGAGCTGTGCTGCTCCTTGCCCGGGCAGAGAGTGTGTCTGTGTGCTCCAGGGACATGGGAAGGCAGCTGTGCTTCCCAAATGCTGTCATCTTATAAACTGGTTATTGGTAATTTTAGGACGTTGCTGTTTTTTATAAGGCAGACAATGCTCAGTAGTAGGGTATCACTTTTTCCCTTTTTCTTGTACAAATGTGGACAGTTGCTGATCAGCTTTCATGCATGCTTAGGAGAACATTGTAGTGTTCTAGTATCCAATTTCTTCCAGACTTCTTGTCTTAGGCTGTTATTGCTGCCACTTGCAAGAGCAGGGAATGCTTGCTGTATAACAACTGCAGAAGTGACTACAGCACAGCAGTTTGCCTGGCGAGGCACAGTCACTTGTAATTAGTAATGCCGTGTTCATCTTATGCTTTCCACTGAATCTGGCCTCTTCTGAGGGCTGCCCAGCCAGAGCTGTGTCTGATCCCAGCACAGTGCTTTATGAGCTAAGGCAGCAGCTGAAACACTGTAATCTCTTTGCATGAAAATTCACAGCATCAGTATTAACACCGTAGAGTCTTGTTCCCAATTTTGCCCACTCCTGCTTGCTCTCTCCCCTAGAAGGAGAGATTTCAGTTCCGTCAGGTCAAGCAAATCTTGTAATTCTGTGCTAATGTTGTTTGCATATATTTTAATTTTATGCTAATTCTGCCGTTGGTTGTTTGGAGCTGGATCAGCCCCAGGACAGCTCAGAGTTGTCATTTCACAGGTGCTGGAAGCAGACTTGGGTCCTGCCCAGGGCAGAACTCCACAACTCTGGAATTACTTCTCTTTAGCTGCCTTGTGTTTTTCTCACAGTTGGGTTGTTTGAAATGAGCACATCCTGGCTGGTGACTCCGAGCTGCTGCTCGCCCGTTGTCGTGTGCTGAGGACGGGCACTCAGGGGCTGCAGCTCCCATGCGGGCTCTGCCTGCTGCCAGCACCTGCTGTCCTCTGTTCCTCTGGAGCAGATCAGCCCAGGAGGGGCAGGAGCAAGCTGAGGTGGTGTGGGGGATGCTTTGGTTTTGTTTTAAAATGCTAAATGTCCACGGATGACCGTGTCTGGTCATCTGTTTAATATTGCTCCTCAGGGTGCACCAAGGCCAATGCACCTTCCTGGAATGGGCAGCTCCAAAGAAAAGGTTTCCTGCAGGCTTCCACCAGCGAGTACAACGTGGGCTCTGAGCAGCAGCATCCCTGTTCTGCATGCATGTGCCTCTGTAGGAAACACACAGAGAAGGAGCTCGTTAAAGTCTCTCATGGGAGCCACCACTGCGCTTTGCCAAGTTGATTTATGGGCATTCAGCTTTGCTCCCACTTGTGATTTGTTGTGAGTGTAGGTGTGTGCAGCAGCAGAGACGCGGCCAACTGCACTTCTCAGGTGTTCTCTGTCCTTGAAGGGAGCTCTGCCAGCAGAGGTTCCCCCCCAGCTCCAGTTTGAGCTAACACAGTCTGTGCTGTGCGTGGGGATTACGGGATTGCAAAGGCTGTGTGGTGCAGCATGCACCATATAACGTGCATGTTAGATCAGACCTTATGAATATTTCATATTCCTTGATATCACATTATTTTTGGTGTTGAGCAAATTGAGCATTATTTCTTGTAAGCCTTGTGAAGGTTACATTGCTTCCCTGGCTCAGACGCTGCTGAGAGCGCTTGCTGCAGCAAAGAATGCTTTTCATGCCAAACTTCAAATATGTTTCTTTATTTTCCTTTTTCTCACCTTTTCTTCTGGAGCATTCTGCCTGATCAAGGTGTTTGTGCAGCACCAGCAGCATCCAGGACTTGCTTC